CCATACCACTGAGCTTCCTTGTTGATCTCCCTTTTTTTTAAGTTCAAATCCATGGTAGGTGTCCTACGTACAAGCCCCAAGCCCACAGGCCTTAGCATTCAGATGCTCCCTTGTCTTGCTTGCCCCCAACCCAAAGATGTGGGGAGACGGGCTGGGTTAACTGATGTGCCAAGTATGCTGTGCTTCAGGTTTCAGTATCTACAGTTAATTGGTGAGGTGCTGGCAGTCCTTATACATGCTTATCTCCCATTCAGGAAAAGCACCAATCTTCCTTCTGTTTCCCCCCCTGAAGTGTATGGGTGTTGGTTGATCACAGACATTTGGCATACTTTAAAGTTGTAAAAACACTGCTGACAATGGTGAATAAATAGGGCTTGAAACTGTGTTAGCTACTACCTATTTTCCTAGGCTACACAGTGCCAAAACCAGATGGTCTGTCCTCTTTGCTGTACGTTTTAAAAGGAGGAAATAGAGGTTCTTAAATGACTACACAAAAATCAATTGCTTCAAGAGCTGATCTTTGAGGCTGGGGCTTAAGTGCCCAAGTCCTTCGCACAGGACACAAGAGACCCTTTTGAGATAATATAAAAAGAATATGGACTTGAAAAGAGGCCGTGTAAATTCATTATGAGCACCAAGACAAATCAGAGCTCTTTCCTGGACACACTTACTCACTTCAAAGCACAGAGAAGGTGGGTGGAAAGGTCTGTTTGGGTTTCACTCAGTTCCCTGTCAAGCAAGGACTGGACAAGTCCATGTACTGCTGCTGCTGTGGTGATGGACTTCCCTGAGCATCTCTCCTTCCCCATGCTTATGGAGCAAGTCTTAGGTGTCCAACAGCAAGTTAGGATCAAAGACAGATAATGTTTGACTAGATTCAGAAAACAGAGGGTTTTCTGAGTCCTACAAGGGGACCCAAATGATTGCTATATCTGTTATAATCTCTTAATAATAGCAAGAATAGAATAGAATAGAATAGAATAGAATAATAGTCTATAAATTTGGAAGTACTTTGACGTGGTCTCTCAGAGGCAACTAAGAAAAGGGGGGAAATGACTTTGTGCCCCTTTTATTTCCTTAGCCATGATCTACTTGCACTGGCAAGAATTGTACAGTTGAATTAAATCCGTTTCTAGAGTGAGTGAGGGTTGCTCTTCCCCCAGTTGTTAGAAACTGATATAACTAAGTAGGACAGCCTCCTAGTTTAGATGCAGCTATTCTCCGAAGCTATACAGGCACAAGCATCTTTTACTGGAATGACTGCTTCCGTACTAAGGCAGTGTTCAAGTGGCACAAGAACTAAGTATAGATCTTGCCTTCACTAAATTGTCGCCACCATCCAGCACAGATGCTCTCTACATCAATTTGGAGTGGTTCGTGTTGAATTGACTTGCTTGGTAAACTGTCTCATTAGAACCGAGTTACCTGTCTCGGGCACTTCACAAGAAAACGGGGAAGGGAAAAGAAATCTGCCTTTGGCGTTGAGGTCACTCACATTCCTGCCAAAGCAACAGGGATTTTATATGAAACCTTGCTGAGTTAGGACACTGAATTTAGTGTCCTAAATTCAGCATTTAGGCAAAGCATTTGCAGGAAGCCATTCTGCCGAGGTGGCTCATTCCCTTTTCCTGGGGGCATGAGGTGCTTCCAGTTTTCCCAGCTCTTTTGACATTTAAGGTCAGGGTATATAATACCATGCCCAGTCCTTACCAATGTCTGCCTAAATACCAAGATGTAAGGTGCTGTTGCCACTTCCTCTTGATAAAAATGACATAGCACCATTGCTCCTTGCATAGTTCCCAATTCAAGAATAGACATGTGTGTATTTGTGGGAAACTGGGTTGCCAGATTTGTCTGTTATCCCTGCAGGAGTCAGGAGGTGAAAGAAGCAAGACGAGAAGTGTGAAAATGCACAAGAGAAAGGTCAGAAAAGTTTTTTAAAAATCAGGACATGTCACAGATGTTGTCTGATGCATCATTTTAATGAGAAATTTAGCCCTACCTTAGTTCCAGAAATATTTTTACAAGTACTAGGACTCTCATACATTTTCCCCCAAAGTACTTCTGCTTTAGAGGAAGTGTAAGAAGAAGTTATTCCTAGTGTATGCAATTCTTCCTTTTGCATTTGGCTTCAGACAAATCAGCTAGGACATATCTACACTGAGTTTCTCCATCAAACCTCTCAGTCCTGTGGTATCTATCACCAGTGCTGCTCCATTAGCAGCCGCTGTGGCCTCTCCCATCATGACAGTGTACGGGGCAGCCGTACACTCCTCCCCTCCCCATACTTACTGGCAGAGGGACCCCAGCAGCTTTGCTACTTGTTCCTGATCAGCTAGGTGGCAAAACCATGAGAAAAATATGAACTCTTTTATATGTGATGATGCACCTGACCATTTGCACCCCTTTATTGACAGGATTTGCCCATGGGAACAGGGCCCTGGAATAAGGTGCCAGTCACACTGCTACTTCTCAGACCAGAACCACCCTTGAATCTCTGCTTCCCTGTCTAAGGGCAGATGGTCATTGGGTTCAAACAAGGTGGGAAAGAACAATCAATTCTGGAAAGTGCTAATTTTTTGCCCTCAGACTCCCTCTAGCCCAGTTCAGACATGAGGCCCCCTCCATAGGCTCGAAGCACCCCTTGGAAAATGTCAGCTCTTAGCTGTCACTTGTTTTTCTGCTACAGAAAAATATTAGCGCAACCCTTGCCTTGCAAAGAACTCAGAGGGCACGCAGCAGGCCAGAAAGGTTTTCACACTAGAGATCCCCATTTGAAATCTCCGGGTTAATCTTGTGAATCGTGCCTGCACCACTACATAAGAACTGCCATCGAGTTGCCCCGTGTCCTGTGTCACACAGGGGCAGACAGCGGATGCTGAAAGGGAGAGCGAACCGGGGCTGACCACTGGTCCTCTCTCACTTGCAGCCTCCAGCATGTCAGATCTAGTACAGGGGTGCTCCACCTCTGGCCCGCAGGCCAAGTTTGACCCATGGAGCCTGGTATCCAGCCCACAGGGCTCCCCACAGGTTGGGGGATCTGGCGGCAAGGGAGTGGTGACAATTAATATGGCTGCTCCTCCCCTCTGCCAGATTCCCAGACCCTAAGCCCTGCGTGGCAAATTGGGGCTGGAACACACCCTCTTCCCCCTTCCTAGGCTGGATCAAGTCCAGGCCATGCCCTCTCTCCTGCTGCCCCTGAGAGGCCAGCTCAAGCCCCCTTTGCTCCTCTGGGGAACCAGCTGCCCCCTTCACATGGCGAGATAGGGCTCCACTGCAACACCACCAGATCTGGCCCACGGAGGCTCCCATCTAGCCTACTGACCAAAAACCATTGAGCACCGCTGGTTTAGGAAGTTCGGGGTCAGAGGCTGTGCCCCTAGCTCCCGTGCTCAATAGCTGCTGATGCCCCTTTCCTCCGAGAACGCGTCCAATCCCTTTTTGAACCTGGCCAAACTGTCGGCTTCCCCTGCATCCGGCAGCAATGAGTTGCACACCTTCGTGACACTGGGTGAAAAAGAACTTCCTTGTGCTAGTTTTAAATTAACTACTCACCTCATGTGGTGACCCCTGGTTCTAGTATTGCAAGAGAGTCAACAGTGAATGCATCCTTATTTACTTCCTCTTTGCTGTTTTGAATTTGGTAAACCCTCCTCACGTCCCCCCTCCAACATCTCTTTTCTGAACGCACCAGGCCTGGCTCCTTCATACCACTGAGTATCCTTATTGTTCTCCTTTTCTTTTTTAATCTCGTGTCTCGGGCCAAAGCAGCCAAATCAGTTGAGCAGAGCTCAATTGTTCAAGTCTGTGCAGCACTACCACGGGCAAGTCTCCTCCCTCCCAGACTTTTCAGCCCCTGGGGCTTCAGATGCTCCCAAATCCATGGTAGGTGTCCTATGTACAAGCCCCAAGCCTTGGCATTCAGATGCCCCTTGATGTGCTCGCCCCTAGCTAAAAGGCCAAAGGAGCAAGCTAGAGGGAAAGCCCAAGAGCAATCCCCTTCACCATAAATTATGTTGCCAAGATCTTCCCATTGGGAGGGCTTAGCAGACTCTTGCAGGGGAGTCTACCCCAGTGCAATGGGTGGGTCTCTACTCTCAACAGCGCCAAGTTGCTCAAGGCCAGGAAGAAGGGGATCTCCCCTGCCAGGTACATATGAGCCAGGACTATCAGCATGGTATCTCCGCTGCCAGGCAAGCTTGCTCTTCTCCGAGCTCACAGCTGGGCTGCCGCAGGCTCCTGCCTACGCTTTGCCCATGCAGCGAGCTGTCCGCGCTCCCCATCTGTTTGGTGCAAGCGCTGTCCAGGGCCACTACTTTCCCGCAGCTGCGGAGCCCAGGGGTGAGCGCCAACACCTCACCCCAGCTCTTCCACCCCTTCCCTTGCAGCCTCCAGCAGGGGTAGGCAGCCCCCAGCACGGGTGCCAGGCTGCAAGGCATTTTGCTTGGCACGCACATCTCGGGGCGGACGGCAGGGAAGGGTCTGGGGGCTGCACTGCCACATCGGCTCCCTGCCCTGGCACGCCGACATCTTATAGGCATTTTCGGCCAAACAAACATCGCCCACCCCTGAGGCAAGCAAACTCTGCCCCAAACCCCCTCGCTCGTCCCTGTCCTCCAAGCCTGAGTCCAGGCTAAAGGGGCAGCTGGGGGGCAACAAGCGGCTCATGCCCAGGCGGCAAAGAGCTGCCCACTTTGGAGTGGGCTGGTGGTCCTTGGCATGCTGGTGGGAGAAGCAGTGAGCATCCCTCGGGGTCACTCAGCCCCTTGCCCTGTCCCTCCTCTCCCGGGGAAGCCCCAGCCCGTGTGCGGAGGAGCGGCAGGGCGCCGGGGAGGTCGCAGCCCGGCTCCTTCGCCCGGGGCTGCGGGGAGGAGCTCGCACCCCGCGGCCCGGAGGCGGAGCGGGAGGCGGGCACGGCTCGCCCAGGGGCTGGAGCCGGAGCCGGAGCCGGAGCCGGAGCCTGCCGCCCCCGGGGGGGATTCAGCCGCCTTGGACCCCGGGGCTCGGGCGGAGCTGAAGTTTGGGAGCCGCCGCCGCCTCCGGCTCTCCGCTCGCAGCCCCGATGCTCCCGCAGCATCCGCCTGCGCGGCGCCGGGCGCTCCCCCGCCCCTGCGGCCCCGACCCGCACTTCTGCCCCGGCTCGCACGTTCCTTAGCTGCAGAATTGCTCTCGCACGGCTCCGCGGTCAACGAACAAAGCAAAAGCAGCGAGCCCCCCAAAAAAGCTCTGGGGTCGCACCAGGAGCTGAAAAGCGCAGCAGCCCAGCCGTGCCCGTGGCAGTGCCAGCTGGCCCCATCCGCTGACTGTGCAAATGGTGATTTTTGCATCCTTCATCCCACCCTGCCACCTGGGGCTGGTACCCCAGTGCTGCTGAGAGCCGCTGCCTTGTCTCAGCTGAGGCAAGCGGGTTTCCCCAAGTGCCAGACCGAAGAGGTAGGTCCTACAGGTGTAATAAGGCGTCAGCAGGCGGAATCGGTGTGTTTTAGCCATGGCTGAATAGTCAGAGAAGAGCGGGTGTTGTGGGGAGAGGCGTGTGTCTGGTTTTCAGCAAGTCAGAGCACAAGAGGAAGAAAGTCTTGTCCTTTTCCCTGGGACTCAAAAGGTTGCATATTAGCATTCGCCTCTGCCCCATCCTTTGCGTGTGCCTTTACTCTGAATGTCTTTTTTTATGCTTTGGGAGCTTTGTGATGTATTAGATCTCAGCCCGCAAGGTAAAGCGGATCCGTGGTGACTTTGGGAGCTGAGGGCACTCATTCTTACCTTTCATGACAGGGCTCGGAAAGAGGCTTTGGGCTCATCTTAGCCTGGGTCCGCTGAGAGGACTTTGTTGTAATCCTCTCTCCATTTGGTGCCGGTTCTTTGTAGGAGTAGGAATGATTTTCCTGCAGAGGAGGGAGCTGGAAACCAGGAGAATCGTAACACTGCCGTTCCAGCATCGATTACTTTTGCTTTTTACTGAGACAGAACTTCTCCTTCTCTGTCCACATAAGGCGAGAAATGCTGAAGTTCAGGGATGGAGGGTGACAGCGAGGTGGATAATTGGCACGTTTGAATCCCGTGGGGAGACCAGAGATTGCAAGTGGGATACTAAAACTACCTCTCCTATAAATGACTTTGAAATCAACCCCCAAAATAAGTTTGAGGAAGAAACCAGTCCTGCTGAATGAGGACGGTAGCCAGCTTGCTGACCAGCTGAAATACCTTCTTGGTGAATATTGTGCGTGACGTTACGTTGCAAGAGGGGAAAATGTAGCAAGAGAGAAAATGTGAACCGAAAGACTTGAATTTCCCACACCACGAGGGGCCTGAACGTTTTTCCTTGCAATTAATTGACTGCATTAGATGAACATGCATTTTGGCACGTTTACTTTTATCTGTTTTAAATGCAGTCCAACCATCTCACCCAAAGGGTCACGATATTAACCATTCCTCCTACTTACTTGATATCATATGGTGTATTTTTTGTTCCTGGTGACCACACCACAGCTGATAACAGCCCCTCAACTGGGCATTCGCCAGGCTCCTGTGTTTGGGTCTCATTGGGCCTTGTCCCAGAAAACTCAGTCTAAACTGAGCGTGTCCAGGAAGGACACGAGAAGGAGAAGTGGTCTCAAGTTTAGTCGCAGAGGTTTGTGGTTCACGTAGGATTGCAGGTTCCTTTATTTTTAAATGTTATCTCATTTTTTTTCTGGGGGTGGGAACGTGCATGTTGCAGAAGTTGTTTGGATGAAATGCTTTCTTTTGGGAGGCACTGTGGTGTCCCACATGGTTTTGCAGGCCTGTTACAATATGCTCACGATAATCATCCAGGTTTTGGACTGATTGTGTGATCTGGAGCTCCAAATGTTTTGGTTTTGATTATTGAAGCTAGCCAGCTCCTTTTTGATCTTTCCATCTAATCTGGCATGCAGGTTAAACAATAACCTTCTTGGATGGTTTCTTTTCTCATACAGCCTGTGCTCTTTGGACCTGACGTACCACTGCCTCGCTCTGCTTCTGGGCTGATGTAACACTGAAATCAAGGGTGTTAGACGGGTGGGAGAGTGGAATAAACAGTGATGAATTAGGCCTGGTGGTTTTGGTTTTAAAAGCTAACACAACTGTCTCCTCCTGTCTGCCAGTGCTGTGTGACTTGTGTCTACCTAGAAAAAAAATAAACCAGGTCAAAAGGAGGCACCAGTGTAAATTCACCCAGTTTTATTTCTTAATCTGAAGTTATTAACAGTAGACACTTGCAACCCGCCCTGGGAGGAGAGGTGTGCTTTGGACTAGGTGCTGTGCAGAACAGTATGTAGTTGGGTTCCCTGAGTACAAAGGTTAAAAGGACCAGAGAGGATGGGAGAAAGGTGTATTTTTTTTAAACAGATGGGAAACCTGAGTTGTAGAGAGGAAGTGACTTACTTGAATTTACACAGTAGGTTGGTTGGTTACAGAGCTGGGAGTCTCTTGAGTTCCAGTTCAGTGCCTTAAGTGCAAGACCAGTTTCTCCAGTTACGTGGATGAATCACTGCTGAGAAATCACTGTAGTTGACATAAAAAACAAAATCCCCCAAAGGCTATAGCAAAGACTTCATTGAGCTTTTCTTTCTGTTGCTGGTGGCATTGATGACCTTTCTTTTAAAAAAAAAAAAAGAAGCTAGATTGGGGAAAAATGCAAAAATCTAGAACTCTTGGTTCGGAGATGATACCTTTTATTACACCAAGTGAGAAAATGCAAAGAAAATGATCTTTTTTCTGCAAGCTTTTGGGCTCACACACCCTTCATCAGGCTCAGGGCAAGTTAAAGATGGGAAAAGGTCTCCAGGTTGTAGCCGGCTTGGTCTAGAGGGAAAAGGAACCAGAACTCGTGGTGGAGATGATTTCTTTTGCAAAAATCTCTAGATTTTTGCAAAAAAATCTAGTTGGTCTAATAAGATATCACCTCCACCATGAGTTCTGATTCAGACGGGAAAAGATAATCTTGCTTATATAAGGACGCCAAGGTTCCCTAGTCATCGAAATACCTGATAGCTCAAATGATGTAAAAACATTTCAAGCTACCCCCCTCTCACCAGACTTCTTTCACTGTCTGACAGCTTATGTTGTATTCATGAAGTGGGGGATGGGGGTAAATATTTTTCATTTAAAAACGAAAAAGTGGGGTTTGTTGTTGTGGTTTTTGTTTTCTATTTGCATATAGAAAGCTTTGTGAGCTGTGAATCTCATAACCTTTTCAGGAACTGTTTATGCTAAACATGGGCCTGAAATAATCCTCTCTGGATCGTTTCCAAATTTGCATAAATTCCCCACATCTTGTTTTGAAGCAGGCAGAAACAACTGATCATCTCGTCTGAAAATTTCACCCAGTGATTCCTGCCGTGGAAGGATTTGCGTAGCAGGGAATTTGAGTAAACACTATTGATTCCAGTTAACTTCCAGATGAATTAGAGCTATCTTTTTAGAAAGGCATCCAATCTCAATTAAAAAAAATCCCTCCCCGCCAAAAAAAAAAACAACCCCAAAAATTCCATGTGAGGGTGAATTTGCCACTACCCTCAGTAACTGTTATGAGAATTGAAGATCTTGTTATCTTATTTCAGTCTTATTTGTGAAACTCGTGAATTCTGATCTGGACTGACTCGCCCGATCATCTTTAGCTCATGCTAATTCAGGTTAAAGGAATATTTTAAGCTGCTACCCCAAATGTCAAGGGTTCCTACCTCTTAAGCTTCTGATTTAGGCCATGGCACCAATTATTTCAGTCTCTCTTACACCAGCATAACTTCACCCGAAGCCTGCGGTTCTAATAGAGCTGACAGGTCTATGGAACATGTGCTATAGTTTGTACCTTGGTAGCTTTAAGTATCTCTAATAGGAATTTCGAGCTGCAGCTCACATTGAAGCCCGAGCCGGGGTCCAAGGGAACTGATATGTATGTAAAGACAGACTCAGACTCTGATCCAGTGTGTCAAGGGAAATAACCAGATATCACAATATCCAGTTTGAAGAGGTCCAGATGACATCCGTTCAAGATGCTGCTGTATTAAAGCAGCCACCTCAACTTGAACTTCGGTGACCCTCCATATTAAAAGCGAAAGTTAACAGGCAAGTACCACGCTTCAGTCAACTAGGAGTACATGGTCTAAAAAGCATCAGAGGCAAATTGATGCATCCAGCTTTGAAAAGCAGTATTGATTTGTTCATTAACATTAATAAGGCTCTCAATTGTCAAGCCCCGTTATGTTTTGCGGCTTTTCTGGAAGCAGAGCCATTTACGTGTTGTAACCTGAAAGCTGCATGAAGAACTGGCTTGGGGGGAAATATTCATTTCCTTCATAAACCACAGGGCACATTAACCGGCTAGAACCTGGATTTCCTCCTGTGTAACATGTTTTTAATGGACCAGTAGCCTCCAAGGAGCTAGTGCTGGTAGTGTTTACTAGTTAAAATACACTTTAATGAGATTATATCAGATATGGTCTATGGCAACATAGTTCAGGGTCACCAGCAAAGGGCAGGGGAATAGGTTTATCTGCTTTGCTGCTGAATAAAAGGCTGGAAATCTCGTACATATTTTTAGTGCTTGGAGGTACCCCCCACCCCTTACACTATAGATTCAGGTCTTGTCCTAACCTGGAAAAAATGTTGGCTGACTGGAGATCTGGTAGGATTACAACATCAGGGCACCACAGAAGTAAAACCAGGCTAACTGAGTGGGGAAGGGATTTTTATTCATACTTCTTGTATAGCAATGGTTATTTTTGGTTTGCTGACAGGTAACCCAGATGCTTGCGGGGGGGAGATGTTTTCTTTAAGAGTTTGACAGTCTTGTCCTTTCAAGGAAAAGAATGTACCTTTAAAGAGAGTCAGGCCTTTTGTAGATATGATTTTGAAGAATGAAAAACCATTCTCCTTTTTTTGGCTTTACGGTGTAGCAATGTGGTCTCTGAACACTATAATAAGACCTGTGCCCTTAGCTCAATCCAAGTGCTCTCGGTGTCCTGATGGACCCTTGTGCTCAAAAAGAGTGGGTGCTGGGTATCTGTCATGCATTTCTTTGCTATACTAATTGCTCTATTTTGCCAAGTTCAGTAACACCCTTAATGTTAGAGGGTTTTCTGAGGACTTTGAGGTCTTGTGCCCTTGTGGTCTGTTCCCAAAAATAGAAGTAGCCGGCTAGTCTTAGAGCATCCATGTGAGGGGGGGAAAAAGTTGTAACACTAGAAATGAAAATCCTGTCTCCTGTCATTATTTAGTCACTGACTCTTATAATGAATAGTCACTCAATAAATCCTGTTCCCCCCCTCATGAATGTTTGGTTGAATTTTATTGTCAGATTGTCTAGAAGACTTAAATCTCTGTTTAACCACAGATGCCCCCAGCGGGTCTCAAACCTGATCTGAAAAGGCTACCTCTAAGGGCAAGAAGGGAGTTCAACCTTGGTGCCTAGGTCT